TAATATATAAAATGCCTTAGTACTTTCTGTTTCTTCTTTCCCTCATCCCAGTTGTTCCTTCCTTTGAGCAATTTCTTTCCCTTTCTTAGTATCTACTGTACATTTTGGGTTATATTTACCCTTTCCTGTTCTTACACCAGGGAGACAATATGATGTTTACACATGTGGGCCCGATTTATTTCACTTATTCTTGACAAAAGGGCCAAACACCTTCACTGGAGGAAAGACAGCTTCTTTAATAAATGGTTCTGGGAAACTGGCTTTCCACATGCCAAATACTAAAACTACACCCATATCTTTCAACATGTACTAAACTAAAATCAAAATGGATCAAAGGTCTAAATATTAAAACAAACACTAACTCTGTTGAAAGATAGAATAGGTAGAACTTTTGAAGACATGGGTGTAGGCAAAGACTTTATGAGCAAAATCCCAGTCACAGGAAATATCACAAACAATCCACAACTGGCATCTTATCTTATTAAAAAGCTTTTGCACAATAAAAGCACCAACAGAGTGAAGAGACAGCCCATAAAGTGGGAAAAAATATTTGCTAGCTGTTCCTCAAAGGATTAATATCTAGAATACATAAAGAACTCAGAAAATCACACTACCCAATATTAAAGACCAAATCTAAAAATGGACATCTGAAATGAATAGACACTTCTCAGTTGAAGAAGTAAGTATCACCAAATCAACCAATAACAAATGCTGGCAAGGCTGTGGGGGAAAGATATCCTTTTCCACTGTTAGTGGGAGTATAGACTGGTGCAATCACTGTGGAAATCAGTGTGGAGACTTCTCAAAAAACTAAGATTAGAGGTTCCATTTGACCCACCTATCCCCCTTCTTGCTATCTTCCCAAAAGAATTAAAACATAATACCACAGCAATATATGCACACTGTTATTTATAGTGGCACTCTGTAATAGCTAAATCTTGGAAACAGCACAAATGCCCATCAACTGGTGAATGGATAAAGATGTGATTTTTTTATACAGTAGAGTCCTACTCTGCCATAAACAGGGGTAAACTTGAGACATTTCAAAGTAAATGGCATCTGGAGACCATTCTCTTAAGTAAAATAAATTGAACCCACATGTGTAAATATTACATTGTCTGTCTGGTGTGAGAAACTTTCAGTTTAAATTAAACATATTCAATATATTTTTGACTAATGATAGGTTTATCATAATGTAACCCTATAATAAGTAGAAGAGCATCAATGTATGATAACATATATGCAAAATTTTGTGTTCCATTTCTAAGTGAAGGTGGATATATACTGATTGTTTCTATTACTCTTAAACAATCATTCAGAGGTCCTTTTTTCTGCCTAGAAATTCTCTGGATTTTTACTGAATAATCAATTTCCTGTGTGTCTTAAAGGCCTTTTAGCAGGTCTAAAAAGAGAAAAACATGGTTATCCAACACTGGAAATAATGTGTTCAACACTTTTTAAGAAATATAAGAATGTCTTCCATAGATTTTGAATAATCTTAACTATATAAATGTTTATTCTTTCAAGATAAAACAATCTGAGCAACTGATTTGAAGGTAACAATATGCAATGGAATTACAATGGTAAACTCCTTCCAACATTCAAAGCAAAAGCTTAGCTATAAGCCTCTGTAAAAATCAAACAGAAGTTATATAATTCCAATGTACAGCAGCACAAAGTAAACATTCCCATTCAAAAGGGAAAAGAATAGTGGAGTAGAAAAGAATAGTACCAAAGCAAGACTGAAAGCCAGCAGAGAAAACATTAAGTCCTGTAGCTCCAAGTCTAGCACCTAGCACAGGGTGCTGTAAGATGTGAGTGAGTTCCAAAAACTTTCCTTAGCAGACATTGCATATTCCTGGCCTCTCCAACTTCTGGAGGTCTCCACCGCACCTTTGGCTTTATTCCCACATATTCACACAGTCTCTTTCAGGAGCTCCTTGCCTAGCCTCCAAGGCCTTCCTTCAAAATCTAGATGGAGGCCTCCCTCACTCCACCACTCTTGCATTCTGCATGCTGGTAAAACCAGCATCATTCAGATGACACCAAAGTCTGCTCCCAGTGGGAGCAGTAAGCGAGCCCCTTAAAGCATAGCTACAGTCCTCTCTGAATATCTGGGTGGTCAAACACAGTGAAATGAATCCCAGAGAACCAATTTTCTAGGAGGCCCTTCTTGAGTAGTGGTCCCAGGGCTCACTTTTCCAAGCAAAGGTTTACAGGTATATACCCTTGAGCCTCTGATGGGTGGGGTTTTGTTGATTTCTGGGATGCCCTCAAGGAATCTTTCTTCTTGTTCCTGTACAAAGTACCTGGTTCATTTTTAATGGTGCTAGCCTTTTTTAGCAACCACATTTGGTTGTGTAAACCAAATTTACACAAGGTTCCTTCTGGGTCAAAAATTAAGTTTTTCAAATGTTTCTGCTCCCCTTTTTGCTTTGAATTCTCATTATAAATCTGGCTAAATGAAGCTAATGTTACCCTGCATAGCCTGAATACTGGGCTGCCTTTGAATCTCTTCTGCCAGATCAATTAGTCCACTGCCCTTAATCTCAGTCTCCCCAAGATCTCAGGATATAAACATTAGAAAATCTGCCAGAATATAACACACACGGCGTCTAGCCCAACTATCAGTGGAATCTTTCTTCCAAACTAAACGCTTCTGAGTCTGACCTTTACTGCCTGCATTCCTATCAGTATTCTGGTCTTCAAACCTCTGACTAGAATCATCCATTAGGCTCTGCTTACAGCATTCAAAGCTGTTCTAGTTCTCATTTCCAAACTTTTCCAAACTCCTCCCAGAAACCAGTTCCAAAGGCAGGCAGAGTCACAGAAAAGCCTCCACTTCTCTAGTACTAATTTTTCATATTAGTCATCTCTCCTTTTGCTGTGACATAATACCTGATGCCTAGAACATAGAGGGAAGGTTTAATTTGGTTCACAGTTTCAAGGGATTCAGTCCATAGTTGGCTGTCTCCAAAGCAGAAACATCATGGCAGAAAGGCACAGCAAAACAAAGCTGCTTAGTTCATGGTGACTGGGGAAGCACAGCAGAAGAGCAGCACCAGAAAGGAAGGAGCAAGTGACCACACACAGACCACCAAGGCTGTGCCTTCGTGACCCACACAGACATACCCACAGTGTGCTGCACCAACCTCCTGGGGACCCCAAAGCCAATTAAGTTAACACTCTACCCTAACCACCACATCATGAGAGTGATAAGACTTTCTCCAAAGTGTTTAGTGAGAATTAAATAGGTTAATATTTGTAAAAACCCAGAAGAAATTCCTCTTTATTGGCATGCACTCAATGGATGTTTTCATACCTGTAATATTTATTGCAATTTTCAAGGTAAATTACAGGAGATAGATATTAACAACTATTGATTTAGACAAGGGAAGTCCTATTGGTTCTCAAAAGTAATGTGAGATGCTGAAAAGGAATTTTTCTAAGTGACTCAAAATGCATTTTTAAACTTTTAATTTATACTACATGCTATCTGTAATAGCACTATGAATAGAACAAAGAATAAAAAGATATAGATGCAATATAGTTTACCACCAATATAAGTGGGTACAAAAAAATTAGTTTGTGGACACAAGCTCACCAAGAAAATGTGTGGCATGGTAGATGAGTGAAGACCTGAGGTTGGGTGGCCACAAAAGGAGTATTCGAAAGGAGGGATACACAAAATTGTTTTCAGCAATTTTCCTTGTTCCTAAAAAGAATTAATCATATTCATCATAAATGTATTATTTTATAAATATCCACCCAACTAATTTCCCAGTGCATGCTTTTTGTTGATCTTTATTCTTTCAATATACATTTTGCAGATACTTATTGCTCCTAGGCACAGGCAAAAGGAATGTGATAGTAGACATATATTAAAGTGAGAAAGACAAAAAGCAATTATTTCTTAAAAGGAAAGTGATACACACTAGAGTGGTATTTATGAGAATGAACCAAGCCACGGAAACCTTTTCTATTCAGACATAGCATACACACACACACATTTAAAAAATAGAGAACAACCACAGAGCAAGTGTCACACAGCAATTTAGAAACGAATTTGACGCCAAAAACGGGTAATTCACCAATACTTTCTTTTCTGTGTCTAAGGTCAGGAGGCAACTCATGTAGCCTAAAAATATTTCAGTTCCTGAACGTTTCAAGCTTCACACTCAAGCTGAGGAATGCCAGCCAACTAGATCCACCAGTCCTATGAAAACTGCGTCCTATGCTGACTCAGAGGACATCCTCAGTTTCTCCCTTGCATTCCTCCGCCCCTAGATTAAATTCCAATGGCCTGGAGGACTCCTCCACTCGAATGTCATCTCCCTGCCTCCTGCTATCCTCCTTAGTCTCCTCATGGATGGAGTGTGGCAGGCAGTCCTGTTCCGAATTACTCCAGACATAGCCAGGTAGAGTCACGTGGCTGTCAGGGGGTCTGCTGGCAGTCTTGGGTTTGCCAGAGATGAGCACCATGCGAGTGCTGGCCGCCACGTGTGACTGGCTGCTGGTGCTGTGTGTCACAGTGGTGAGTACTGAGCCATATCTGTGGCTGCCACATGGTGCCGTCCTTTTCCAGTCCATGGACAGATTCCACCTACTCCATATCTTCTTCACCTCAGCCTGAACCTAAAGCAACACAAACATGGTGTCTGTCAGAAATGGTAAAAGAAACTCTGCAATCTTGTCACAAGGATATCTAACTGTAGTAATTACTGATTGAGATTCTTCTATGTGCCCGAGACTATAGAGATACATTCCCTCTCTACCTCAAAAAACCTTCCAGATGAGTGTTATTTTCACAGATGAGCAAATACAAGCTTGGAGAGAGTCAGAGGGACTTGTCCAAGATTAGTATATAAATAGAAGTTGAAATGTCTCATGGGGGAGAAAAAAAGAGATTCCAACTGGAGGAGAAATAAGATAAACAGAGGCAGTGTGGACTGCAGAACTCTACACAGGGCAAATCCATCCAAATCCCTGCACTAGCGAAGCCTGACCCAACTCGGAAAATGCTGCCTGGGAAAGTTCACTATTTTTCCAGCCAACACAGCTGATAACAGCTCCCTGACTTCTCTTCTTAGAGCAGTTATCAAAAAGGGCTCATACTGTAAATATATGGTCCTAACAACTCGGAAGTTTCTCTCTCAAGGGCTGGAGAGCCATTCCTTCAAGTTGTAATCCTCAAGACAGGTAAGATCCCCATGAGAGGACAGAAACCTATCTTTAACAGCTAAGCTGCAGACACAGCTGGTCCAACTGCATCCACCTGGACTAACTCTGTACTTTTATTCACTTCCCTGACTCTACTGAACCCCTAACTGCCTCCCCCCCTTTTGTCCCTTTAAAACACCTCCTTGCCCAAATCAGAGTGAGCTCAGTTTTTTCACCTCCACTCAATAGCTCCTGAATGAAATCTGTGTCCACCACTTCAGCTAACAGCTGGGTCTCTGACAACAGCTGAAGCTGAGGGGTGGTGTGGAAGAAATTTAACTTGAAATTTTTTCATTATTATAAAAAGAAGAAAAAATAAAACAGAATTTCAAAACGAGATAATAGGAGAATAACATCGTACAGTCTCACTAGTGTGAGAAACTGAACAAGTAAATAAGGCTGAAAATGTACAACAGACATCGTGAATTGGGAAGAAACTGTTCAACCTGAAAGTTTATGGCCACACTATAATTTGCTTAGGCAAACTGCAGGAAAAGAAATGAGGAAAGAAGGCTGGTAAAATAGAAATGCAGGAAGTGCAAAGGTGCTTTCAGTTGGGTGGGGCTTTTGTTGCCAATCCCTCCACTGAAGGTTAAATTCCACTGCTATGAAGCTTCGCTTTCAAATTCCAAGAGAAGCTGTAGAAATCTGGGAAGCTGACTGAAATAGCAGACTCTCACTTGTCCATCTTGGCAAAAGTAAGCGCCCGTACTACTCACCCCACTGCAAAATAAGGTGAAAAAAATGCAGAAGTCACTCAGGAAATGAATGGGTTACTATCTAATTTAACCTTTTTCTGTGGAGACTGGCATAGCATCCCACAGTGCCCAAACCCTAAATGTGGTCAGAGGAGTGAGATGACCTATAGCAATAATAAGTATCAAGTGGCGGCAAGCTGAAAGTCTGAGAGAAGGTGGCAACTCATCCAACAGCAGATGTTACACATCACAAGGTAAAATGCGTCATCCAATGTGGCCACCTCCTAAACGAAGTAGGATTGTCACATCACCAGCATGTAGCTTAAAAAATAAAATATTACGATGGATTTGTCCCAGGGAAACATATTTGACTTTTTAATATAATTTGAAATGAAATATGTTTCAGTATTAACTATAATATGAAGTTCACTGGCCATGTAAGTATCCATTTTTTTTTAATATGAGCCTATGCAACTGAGTTGACATTTAACAGTGATAAAGCCTTAGGTTATTTACAGTAATGCTCACTTTCTCAAAATAATTTATGATTAAAATAATTAAAATATCTCCCTTTCTTTTTTTTTTATAAACCCATGGAGTCCTCTAAAGATATTCACATCACATTCTGCGGGCCATTTATAAACTGATACATTTCAACTTCATTTCTCCAAAGTCCCTGAGTTGCAAACTTAATCTCCAATACAACAGCATTAGGAAATGTGGTCTGTGGAGGTGTTTAGATCTTAAGAGAACCACCTTCATGAATGGATTAATGCCAATTAGGAAAATGTTGAGTGTGTCAGTTTGCTCTCTTGATTTGCTCTCTAGCACTTGTGAGCACTTGCCCTTCCACCTTCTGCCATGGAATGACCCAGGAATGCCTTTGCCAGATGTGGGTCCCATGAGCATAGACTTTCCAGCTTTTAGAACCATAAGAAATAAACCTCCATTCATTCATTCTATATAACCCAGTCTCAGGCACCATGGCACAAAATGCACTAAAATACAAGCCTATTGGAAGGTAGACCTGTCCAGTGCTGGCAGCCTCTTCCACACCTACCTCTCCATTGCAGTAGCAGTAGACAATAGACACAAAGAAACCCTGCAGAACAGAGAAGAAAGTGAGCCCACTGACAATTCATGAAGTTCACAACATCAAAGCATCTTGTGTCACATGCCAAAGTTTAAAAACTGACTTTTAATTACTCCTTCAAAAAAATCATACAAATTATTTTCTCTCCAAATATTTCCAAATCCTTAAATTTATACTAAATTGTTTGAGAAATTTCTTTGGTGTCAGCTAAGCCAAACAAATGAATAAAATGCCCTAAGATAAAGAAATGATTTCTATTATTCTGATTTCATTTATATCGCCACTCATCAATCACATAATGCCCAAGCCCTGCTTGGTAAAATATATTTATGTGCTATGAATGCTAGAAATACAGACATAGAATCTTCCAAGGTAAAAAACACAAAGAATCTTTTCATTCACTCAAAAATCTCTACTGGGGATACACAGCATTCTAGGAGCTGCTTAGCATGACAGGGGTAAAGGATGCAAACAAAACAGCTCTCGAAGAGAAGAGACATGGATCAAACACAAACAGCCGCATGAGAAAGACAAGGTGACAAGGGTTAAACTGGCAAAATAAATGCTGTCAGAACAATGGAGTGGATATATCAGATGAGGAACGAAACCCAGCAAGGCTTCTCTGACGTTTAAGCTAGTCTGAGCGACAAGAATAAGAAGCTAGGTTGCTGCGTAGTGATTAAGGGGAAAGCAAAGGGCATGGCAAGCGTGAGCCCTTGAGAAACAGGACGTGTGGAAGCAACCACGGGTTTGGGTGGCTGGAACACACGTGGCTCCGTGGAATAAGGTGTGACAGCGTCCACCTCACACAGAGCTGCAAGGGTCAGACAATGCATTTGAACTTTATTCTGAGGGCAGCCGGAAACCCTTGTTTATTTCTGCCCAGTAAGTGATAGAATCAAATGTATATTTTAAAGATTCTTCAGGCAGTTGTGCATGGACTATATTTAAGAGGTAGGAAGTGGTAGGGCAGAGGTCCATCCATGTGAGAGGTGGCAGTCACCATAGTTGAAAGAAGATGAAATGTTTGCGGCAGTCTCTTCACTTTTTTGCCTCCTTTTCCCTTTTTTCTCCATCTTCCCTTCCTTCATTTTTTACTTTTATTCCTTTTTCAATACACAAAAACAGAGACACAGACTTTACAACAGTCTTATTTCAGGTCAGTCTTATTGGTATGAGAAACAGCTCCAAAGCTGCCCCTGCTGGAGTCAAACTTACCCTGACCTCTGCAGAAAGGAACACTACATGCAGTGGAATTACAGTGGTGAACTCCTACCATCTTGTCTAGTGAAACTCTGCATGATCTCTAATGTTTTATTGAAGAATTATTCTCTTATTCTCTTTAATGGTTTGAGCAATCTTTCATTCTTACATCTGATAATCTGAGCAATGTAGTTGAGGATACCCATATGCAATGTAACAACCACTGTTGATTTGTATTAATTTGTCGAGACCCTGTATCACTTTGAATGTTCTTGCTTTGATTTGTTTATGTTCGTGATACTGTTCTATTTTTTTGTTTGTTTGTTTCTCATGTACTACTCTCTTTAAAATAAAAGAAATAAATAAAAAGAAAGAAACACTACAAGCACCAGAGAACAGCGCCCTCTCGTGGCCCTTGGAAGTTGGTTGAATCACAGCCAGACAGGGCAGAAAAGAAAGTTGCCAGGAAAAACAAAAAGCCCACAAGGACTCAGTGACTAGGCAAAACAGTTTACCTGAAAAGAGTTGAAGAAGAGCTCGCAGTGCATGCGGATTTCCCACCAGAGCCCGGTGAAAGAGTGCGGCTGGCAGATGAACACGATGTAGTGCACGCCAAAGACCAGAACCAGGACCAGCGTTGACTTGGCGAGCTTCCTGAAAGAGAGGAGCAAGCCCTTTTATTAATCAGCCTAGAGAGCTTCCCAGTAGAGGCAGCTTGAGGGCAAAGCAAGCAGTGCTAACAAGCCCTGACTCTCCTCTGCCTCTCTGGACTCTGCCACTTTTGCTAGGTACTGTTTTCTGGTTTGGTGTTTTGTTTTGTTTTGTTTTGTTTTGTTTTGTTTTGTTTTGTTGGTCCTTCCTCCTCTTTCTATAACTTTTATACTAAGTCTTGTAGTTGATTTGCTTTTTTTTTTTTTTGGACACAGTTGGAATAAAAGGGGAAGCCAAAGAAGACTGCTGCTTGCTGCCTACCATGCCAGGGACTGTTTCTTCTCTGTCATGTCCTTCTGTCATGTCTGCCTTGCCTACATTGCCCAGGGTAGGCTCAAACTCGGGATTCTCCTGCCTCAGCTTCCTCAGAGTGCTGGGATGGCAGGCATGTGCCACCACACATATTAGTATAATCAGTGTCCCGTCTCATCTCCTGCACTTGATTATAGGATACTATTGATATAAAGTCTTAAAATAGCATCTTTTCTGTCGTCTTTTTTAGATCCTATGCTTGAGACTGAAATAAGCATCTCCTCTACTCACATTCGCTGCCCTCACTTTCAGAGGAAGTATTTGGCTTGTTTCATTCAGCTAAAATCCATCTACTCTTAGAAATATTTTACATGTTCATGTGAACTACCTGCGGTCAATTCCTCCGGCTTTTTCATAATATTGTCTGTCAAATTCTATAGTAAACTCTCTATAGTTCTATTTTTGTCTCGTTTTGTTTCTCAAAACTGACACTATTTCCTTGAGCTGGTTTTTCACATACATTTTCTTGTGCATTTGGAGAAATTCTGTTTCCCCATAGGATTATGTGATAGTTAATTTTAGGTGTCAACTTTCATGAATGAAGGAATACCTAGAAAACTGGTAAAGCATTATTTCTGCCCATCTGTGAAGGTGAACCTCGAGATGATTAGTATGGGGTTGTGGACTGAGTGGGGAAGTTCTCAGGGGATGGGCACCATTCCATCAACTGGGGGACCATGCCATCAGCTAGGGGACCAGACCAAAAAGGCAAATAAAAGTTTGAATTTGTTCTTTCTCTTTTGGAGCTGGAACATGCCTCTTCTCCTGCCCTTGGACATCAAAACTCCAGGTTCTTGAGCCATTGGATTCTGGGACTTGTACCAGCAGCCCCTTGGGTTTCCAGCCTTCACTCTGGACTTAGGGCTACACAATTTTCTTCCTGGCTCTAAGGTTTTTGGACTTGAAATGAGCTTCGCTATGGGTATCCATGGTACTCCAGCTTGAGGAAGGCTTTGTTGTAGGACTTCTCAGCTGCTATGATGACATGAGCCAGTTCCTCTAGAAAGTCCTCTCTCATATATCTACCTATCCATATCTATCTATCGGTCTCTCTGTCTGTCTGCCTGCCTGCCTGTCTATCTATCTGTCTGTCTCTCTACTTATCTACAGCTATATTTCTCTGTCCTAACAGTTCTATTTTTCTGGAAAACTCTGGTTAATACCAATGGGCATACTCTAAATGGTCTCTAATGATCTCCACCTCTTGTTACGCATGCTTTTGTTAATCTTTTCTTCTTGAGTGTGGGCAGGACTGGAGACTTACTTCTGACAGATTGTGACAAAGACAATAGGATGCCACTTCTGTGACTATGTTGCATAGGACTGTAGCCTCCATCTTCCTAGAAGACTTTCTTCATGGCTTCTTCAGGGAAACAAGTTGCCATGCTGGGAACTGCTCCACAGAGAGGCAAAAGTGAAGAGAAAAAGTGGCTCCTGGACCACAGCCAGCAAGCACCTGAATCCCACGAACAGTTGCTTTATTTTGTGTTATTTGCACTTTTTATCCAAAATAAATTGTCCCGTGTGGCTGCTTTCTTACTCATACCTCAAATTTCCTTTTCCACCTGTGAATTATTTCCTCGCAGGTCATCTCAAACAACCTAACTTTCCATTCTCACTAGCTTTTCCTCCAGCTGTTTTATGTATTGTTTTATTTTGCTTCTTGGAAACGAGCTGTGTAGGTGAGTTGAGATCACACTGGACAAGACTAAAGAGAACTGGCTTCAGGTTCTACACTTGACGTTAACTACCTGTATCACAGTGATTGAATTTTCTCTCTGAAATGATGGAATAAAGCCCGGAAGTCCATAAGAGCTCTGGCATTGCAGTTTTACCAGAAATCATCACTCATACACACTCACACACACACACACACACACACACACACACACACACTGTCTTATCAGAACCTTTCTTCTAACTTCTACAGAAGGTGGAGAATCCTGCAAAAATCATATTGCAGTGCCTAATTTAGATGGCAACAGCTAGCTGCACACTCTCTCTACCTCATTATCCTTTGCCTGTCTTATCTCTCAGCAGTGCCCGGACCATCTACCCCTCCTGGCTCAGTGCCATCCATCTACCCCTCATTCACGGTTTCCCCTGAAGCCTCTGGCATTTTTCCTCTGCTGCTCCTCATCCTCATGCCTCATACCTTGCATTACTTACAGGGATTCAATTTGAAAATTCTTTTTTTTTTTTTTGGTTTTTCTCCGGTACCAGGAACTGAACTCACGACCTTGCGCTTGCCAGGCAGGCGCTTTGCCGCTGAGCTAAATCCCCAGCCCCTCAATTTGAAAATTCTACATGAAGCCCATTTTGTTCAAGACAGCATCCCTGAGAAGCAGTGGATTTCTCTGACCCAAATGATTTTTCCCACTATTAGACCTCCTTAAAGGTGGTTCGCCTTCTTCCTGAATCCTGCCCAGTAATCACCATCTTCCCATGGTTATAAAACTGGGCACAACCTTTCAATGCCTTCAAGGCATTTCAGTTCACTATGATCCAATACAAGGAGTCAACATTAACTACACTTGCAAAACCTTAAAAATATCGTCTAACCTCATTTTGAAAGGACAATTACTCTCTCTTCTTTAAGATGAAAGCTAAAGCCCCCTGAAAACTGTTCTCAAATTCAAGCAAACTTTTGGTTATAACAGCATCAACAGATCCAATCATACATTGCTTACATATGACAGACCAGAGCAATATGGTCATACATGTGAAAGTTCAGGCACAGTTTGGTTCCATGCAGCCTAAGAAAAGTTGTATTTGGCAATTAAATCTATTTCTACTGGATATCCTGTTAACTTGGTCATCTGGGTTGTCTCTAACTTTGTCTATGACTCAGCTCCTTCATGAATCCATAGAGGTAAAAATTAGTATATAACAAACAGATAGCATCTGCATTTATTTTCTATTGCTGCATAACAAATCAGCGATGACTGCATCCTCATCTGACATTGGGGTTCTCTTGTAAACTCACTCAGATTTCCAAAGACCTCCATTCCTTGTAGTTGTAGGACTGTTGTTGCGGGTTGGTCAGGGCTCACTCTGTTACTATAGGCTGTCCTGAGATCCTAAGCACAGGCTCTCACAGTGCAGCAGATCACCTCTTAAAATAAACAGGAGAATCTCCTATTTAGGCTGCCAGAATAGAGGCTAATCTCATCAAAGGGGAGGCTTATGCACCTCCTTTACTACACACTATAACCTAATCAAGGGAAAGGCAACTATTTCATTAGAGGTCTTGCCTACACTCAAGGTGAAGGGCGGCAGAGAAACGATTATACAAGGTATGTCCGTCAGGGGCTAGGAATCTTGAGGACTGTCCTGGAAATTAGCCTACCACAGCAGTGAAAACAATTCCTGTGCAGAGAAGTTCAGATTATATCCAGTAAAAGGCCACTGATTGTAGCCCTATAGATACTGACAAGTTTTGCTGGCCTGCATTCATTTGTAAATTATTTTCAGCATAATTTTCTGGCCATATGTTTTCTTTTGAATCAGTTATAATATTTTACCACATTCTCCTTAATTAATGAGTTCAATAAGATATTGGAAGTACGGTGTTTGTATGAGCTGTGATTATATCTCATTTTAGAATTCGGCCTGCAATGGCAGTGAACAAGTTAAAGGGATGTGCCGAGCAAATGCACACATGGACTGTTGTTTGTCTGCTCATGTAAGAGTGGCACCCAGCAATCCTGGGCACCAGTTTGTTTCAGTGTCCAGCTGGTCACCGGTGCACACTGTGCAACTTCACAGCTTGCCTCTGAAAGGGCGCAGCTGTCTATGAAATGACTGAGGGATGTAACAGTGGTGCTGGTCTTCTGGCTTGGAAATAGGATGATGGTTCTTCTGTGTCCAAGGTTAAATCCATGAGAGGAATCCAAAGCAGTCAAGTGGTTTGGAGACTCAGTGGACAGTTTAAAAGGCAGAAGTCCAGTTCTCAGAGTTTCTGTCCCTAGGTGATCTCTCTGCAGGTGAATGGCTCGGGAAATCCTCTAGTTTTCTTTAGAGAATTGGATTTAGCTAATGAAATAAAATAAAACAAAATCCTATTTCTCTTAAGCCTATCTTGATTGCTACTTAATCTTTCTTTTCTATGCACGGAGCACTTTGCACATGCATATTTAGCAGTACTCTCCCTACTTTAGCATGAGATTAAATCAATCTCCCCTCCCTCATACTAGATTATGGGTTCAAGGAAGGCACTCAGCAAATACAACAGTTCCCTGCTTAGCACGTGGACCTGCTGCAGCCTCTTCTGATTGCCTCATTTTAGTGTGACAATCGCCAGTGAGAAAGCTATTATTATCCCATTTCCGGTGAGAACAGAGGTCCAGGGAAGGAAAGTACTCACCCAAAATTACATAATAAGAATGAGGTAGCCTTAAAATTTGCTCTCTTTAATATCACGCTGCATAGTAAGTATTGGTTGGATTCATTCTAAAAATAACCAACATTAAATGTAATTTTGTCTAACACTGAATAGAAAATCAAATCAGCCAAAACATTCAAATATTCTTCTTCATTGCATTTTTCATATCTCATAATTTCTACCACTATCAACTTAACTTGGTAAAGAAATTGCACTTTATAATATAAAAAGGGGAGAAGTATGCTTTATAATATAAAAAGGGGAGAAGTATGCTATCTCTATTGTTAAATCTGAAAGTTAACGTCAATTTTGTTTTTAAATAACTGGCTGTAACCTGGACGTAGGGGCACATGCCTGTAATCGCATATTGTGGGAAACTCATTCAAGTGGATCCCAAGTTCCAGCACAGCACAGGCAACTCAGTGACTTAGCAAAACTTATCTCAGAACTAAAAAGGATTGAGGGTGTAGCTCAGTGCAAAGGTCCTGGGTTGAATCCCTAGTACCCCACCAAAAAGTTTATTTTAAAAACTGATTGTATTAATTCACTTCCACCTTAAACCACAGTTTCTACTAAGGGGTTTCATGTGCTTTTTTTTATTTGTGTGTAAGCATTGCTCAGCTGGAGAGAATATCTTAGCTCTGCAAGATCATTCTAACCTTTCAGAAAATAATGCACGGAAATGTGTTCAGTAATGGCTTCCAAGGTCAGCATCTGGAAATTTTGTATTTCTTCATTGTTTTATTTTAGCAAGAATGTTTGAACATTTGTTAGTCGAAGCTAGTAACAGAATGATATATAAGCTTAAAGATACAAAAAACAAGCAGATATAAATTTAATACTCAGCCTTCATGGTAGGAATATCAGTGAGAGCAGAACACAAAATTCACATTCTTAAATCTACTTTTAAAAGTATGACTTGAAGGCTGAGGCTATAACCCAGCGGCAGAGCATGTGCTGAGCACGTGGAAAGCCCTGAGTCCAATCCCCAGCACCGCACAAACAAAAAAGATAACACTTGACAATCTAAAGCCTCAGAAACTGTGCACCGATTGGACTTTTCAATTTCCTGCCAAGCAGATTTCCACATTTTTTTCTTTCAAAAAAGAGTCATTCTCTACTACATTTTAAAATATAATTTAACTACGCTAATACTAAGAATATTAAAATATTACTGAAATTATTACTAAACAGTTACTAAAAATATTAAATATATTTCAGCTGTATGAAAAAGATGTACTTAGCTGAAAATTACTTTCCTTCCCTCTTGTTAGTCTAAGCCTGTTCTAATTATCAACTTCAAAACTTCTGAATTATTGAAAAATAGTTCCAAATTCTGAATAGTAGCTAATTTAACTTTTTGATAGAGAATTCTGTTCAATGGTTTTGTGAAGTCATCTCCCACGAGTGAACTCTAGATATTATCTATTCTATCAGTATTTTAAGATAAGTCACCCCTTGTTACCTCCAAAGTTTTCAAATATCTTGGGCAACTTTTTCCTAAGTGCAGGGTCACTATAGAAATAAGCACCTTACTTTCAGAACTAAAGAAATGAGTCATGTTCAGGCACTATTGTACTCTTTGACGTTATGAAGAAGAATGAAAAGCTAGTCACATCTTCTGTTGCGCTATCATCCTCTGGCCTCTGTCTTTACCACTGGGATGTAACATAAGGCAAGCTGTTTAGTGTAGCGTAGGTCTTTTGCTGTAAACTCCTAGGCATGATTCAAATTATAATATTATCACTTGCAGCACACTGCAAATAACTGGAGCTAGCAGCTCCTGCTCTGTCCACACTGGGCATGCTCTGGAGACAGGCTCCAATCCACACCTGCACTCTCCACGGCTTAACTTGCTAGTGACACCCACATGGCAAAGAGGAATGAAGCACCAAAGGGCTTAGAGAACATTTCTGAATAAAAGTCGACATGCAGACTAAGATGTAGACCTCACTATGTCTGAAACAGCATCTCATAGCTCTCTGAAGCAGAGAATTACTGACTGAAGGGTTACAATGACTAAGCTACATCCACCTGGCACTGTTTGTACATGTCTAGGTGGAGAGAGGCCACTATTACTCACAATCTCCAAAATGTTCATTGGGACTAATTGACACACCCTTACGAATTTTGATTGATGATTGCTAACACTGAATTTTACCATTTTATAGAAGATTAAATAATAGACCTCCTTTAATCAATACATTTTAAAGTTCTTAAAAAATTATATTTGATAGCAGAACTGGACACAGTCAAATAAATAAACTTTCTTGTTTATTTTTAGTTATGACATATTTGAAATGAATGTAAAATTGTCTATGATCACCCATTAGAGATCTTCCAGGTTTCATATTTAAAAATACCAACTTGCTGAGAATAGATAAAAAAATTACTGAGACTTTAGAAAACACTGTGGATTATTTATATGTTAAACATACTTATGCATGTATATAACAAAGACATTCTCTAATTAAACCAAACAAAAATACACATTGACAAATTTAGCCTCTTAAAGACATTTAGATAGTATTTTTTACCCTAAATACTTCTAATACTCTAATGATACACTAGTAATACTCTTTTACTCGAAATACTCTAAATATTCAAAGTACTTCTTCCCCTGGTGCCTGTTCTGGAATTACCTGTATTGCTTTCTCATGTCGTGCCCAACTGCGTTGGTCTCCCAAATCTTAGTGGCCAGAACTCTGACAGTATTCAGAAACAGAATGAAATTCAACTGAAAGACAAGATAATATTACAAATTATTAAATTAATCTTCAAGATGTTTATAGAAATTTACACTATTCAATGACTGAAGATTAACCACTCCATAAATGTGAATGGGGGAATCCTAGATAAGACACTGGAACATTACTGACTCTTGATTGCCTTCATAAAAACACAAAGAAAGATAAAAAAATTTCAACACTTAAAACTAGAAATACCCAAAAGTAATCTTCCAGGATCCAACTTCCAAACCAGAATTCAAAGGAAACCCTGAGGCAGAACTGGCAGGACAAGAAATAATAGTTATTATAGAAATATAACTATATAAATGCCCTTTTTAAATTGAATTGATACCCAGCTTCTGTCTGTATTTTTAGAGAGAGGAAAAATAAAGTTGCTTGAGGATTTCACCTGTGATGTAGTAAAAGTATCTGGGGATGTATATTAAGATTTAAAATTAGGGCTGGGGATATAGCTCATTGGCTTAAGTGCCTGCCTGGCAAGCACAAGGTCCTCAGTTTGATTCCCTGTACCAAAAAAAAAAAAAGAAAGGAAGAAAATAGCTGATTTAAAATTAAACAAAACAAAGCAAGATGCTGTATAAGAAAATGCCTGTTGCAATGTAGGGGATCGAACTGAATTTGACACGTTACAGACTTGGACACCCAAGAGAAAACCAAGTTCTATGTTTAAAAAGCAGAGCCAGGACTGTCGGGGTAAAACTAACACATAAACGTTCAAGGGCCTCAAAAGTACAAAACACCATGAAGAAGAAAGAAAAGGTCACTGGAGATTACAAGGAGATGAGAGCCTGGGTCCCTCTGCTCAGGGAAAAGGCTGCTGTCCAGAAAAGTGCTGGTATTGGGAGTAATAGGAATGCAGCTTGCCAAGAGCAGTCATGGTGTCAGTGCCAGAGCAGGATCCAGAAGAGAGGAGTCTGCTTTCAACATTTCTGAAGTTGGGAGCGTTTTTCATTACTAGGTAATTAGATGTGCCTGAGTCATCAATTCAGCTGTTTGCCTTAACCTCAAATCCTCTGCTAGCCTATTTACTACCATCCTACCATTGACTGTGCTATAAGCACTCCTCAACAATATCACAATCTGTGAGCTGGTACCAAAGGATATTTTTAAGCTAATCATAGCTGCCATTTCTCGGAACATTCTCTAAATCCCACATGAATATGGAACAGACATTTTTTCTTATGTTCATTCATTATGTAGAAAAAAATTCAAGTTCAAAGAGATTAACTGATTATGGCCTGTGCTAATCAGCTGAAATCTGAACCAAGTCTTTGTGAGTTCATACTGTGAATTCCTAACCTCAGTCTTATACCTTCCTTTCAGAGAGATAAAAAATGCAAAACATGAGAGTTGAGCATTTCCATCCTCACCCACTACGGCATGCTGCTCATAGACACAACCTTTTTCAGTAAGAAAGTGAGATCTTGCTCATCCTTCACAGGAGTTTACTTTCTGAATGGCCCAATTTGGTTCCTGCACACAAACCCCTGTCCCTAAGACAGGGACGCAGTGCATCTGGGGTGTAAAGTCTTCCCAGCACCAATGCACAACTCCCATGTAAAGGACTGAGTGATGTGAACCGAAGCTGGAAGAGCTTGGGAGCAAGGTGGGCTGGGGCTTGTCATTCATCATGCCCTATTTCTTAAAAAGGAGGAATTAGAAATGACTTCAGATGAGCCAGCCTTTGGTTCCACCCACTAAAATGCCCAGAACCAAGGACTCCATCCTCAGGTCAGGAGACCACAAGCAAATACTGAAAATCCTCAGAAATCTGACTGGAAGAGATATGCACCAAGTAATCCAACTGTTTAATAACTGAGAAGACAAACTTAAGGACAACCAAATGGATTTCAGAAAGAATTCAGAAAACTAAGATTGAATAGAACTTGCTACATATATAGATAGATAGATAGATAATAGTTGGATAAAATTCCAAATTATTATTATTATTATGAATAATTTAGGAAAATATAGAATACAGGATAATCAGAAACTAAGTTATTGACTACTTAATATTGTAAATGCTTTCAATGAATTGATTCTTTAATCTTCAGAACAGCTGTACAAGGTAGTTATTTTACTGTCTTCATTTTACATGAGAAATCTGAGGCACAGGTTATGCAAATTATAGTTGGCAACACAGCCAGCAAGTGGCAGAGTCCCAGTGCATCCCACGTACCCTGCACTCACAGTGTGCGTTCTCACCACTTCACAATTCTGTCCATCAAACACAATAGCCTTGATAGTTGACTGAGGTATAGAACAGAACATTTTTGAGAGCAGAATGGATTAACAACAGATTATAAAGAACCTAAGATATAACCAAGTTTTAAAAGCAGCGTTAGAAACAGCAAGCATTAGCTACAACAGAGCAATGAAATGGAATCTACAATTTAGAGGATTCTTGAGGAATCCTCGCAGATGGATGGAGAAGAACAAAGACCTATGTGAGAAGGGGTGAAATGCTTACAGAGAAGACATGGAATTGAAAGTGAACATTCAGATTATTCTTTTTCTGAAGGAAAAGATCAGGACAAATAGAACAAATCACTAAAGATGTAAGAGAAAAGAATTCTACACTAAAGAAAGATTCTGCAGGTGGAAAATAGCATGATATATTTGGCAAGAGGAATAAACAAAGAACAAGACCAAGAGAATGTGCCTATTATTTTATTATTATTGCTCTATGGGGAAATCATTAGAATCCTTAAAATTTCATGCATCCTCCTTCAAGCTCTATTCAGGCAAAGTATAGAGAAAGCAATGGGGAAAAAAAAAACAGAGAAGGCCTGGTAGTAATCCTACCACCAGTAAGTATCAAAGTCAGTAACAGAGAGTGAATTTTGCACAAATATTACTCTTAAATAACCCAAATTCAGAAAGTGGATTCTAATTTTTCCCTCCTTTTATCTTTAAAATAAAAAAAAAGAAAGTGGATTCTTTCTGAAAGACTTAAATAAATTCATTGTTCAAAAATGACCACAGCGAATTCAACAAAGAGATCAAAATTTCAGCCAGGAAGCTCTGGTTCCTGGTGCCATCCCGCCTGACACTATCCTGGAGTTCCCTTGCCTGCCTCCTTCCAGCCACTCCTCACTGGGTCAGCTCATTCTCAGGTTTTGGGTGAACATCACCTTTTTTCAGCTCCCACCCCAGCACAGCACTAAACGCACTGAAGTGTTTGCTTCACCTACTGTGCTTAGGCTGTATGAGAACTTGGTGTCCATCTCCTCTAACTTGCATCTCTGTTACCTCACAGTGTGCCTGCAATATTCTTAATTTTTAGTGAAGACTTGTTAAATGAGTAGATGAATGAATGAATGAATGAATGAATGAATGATATGGGGATATCCCTGATCTAAGCACTATTTATACTGGAGAAAAACAACAGCTCTCCCTTGCATACATCACTTCTAGGTGTCTCCCAAAAGACGTAATGAGAAAAAGAAATTAAAATTTAGCTATAGGAAAGCTGACAGTTAAAAAGATCTATAAAATATAAAACTACCTTTCTACCCTTGAAATGTTCATCTGTGGGAGACCAGGTAGGAAGATTAAGGCCTAATTGGCCTCTGCTGTGAGCATTAGGGAGCAAGGCGGTGTCCGTGCGTACTGACACTCTGCAGGGAAAGTTAATATAGCTAGGAGCCTGTTGTTTACCTGGACATGTATGATGGATGGTGGGAGGTAGATGAATTCTGTTTTACTCTAATTGCTTGTACCTGGGTCTGAGTGAATAAAGCTAGAGCGTGCCAGTCACTGGGGGCTCTTTGTATAAGGGAGACAAGAGCCCCTTTGCCCCTTACATTTTAACCTAATTCTGTGTCTCTGCTGTTCATCTCCATCACCTCTCAGTCAGGTACGTGCTCGTAGGCCGGCTGCCACATTCATCAGTGCCTTTGAATACACACTGGAAGGAGTGTTTTCTCCCTGGTCCTGATTCTTCTTTTCAAGGGAAGGGTTTCAACTGATAAACACTTTTTTACTCTCCTCTCCCTTGTGTTTTCCCCATCCTTAGAGGAGATAGACTGGTGTATTTGATGAGTAACTATGGAAAGAGATACCAAGAGTGATTGAGGCAGCTCATCCTCCTTTCTTTTGCGAAACTGCAGTGAGCAGACCGTGCCCTTCAGCATCCTGTCCCTGGCTAGAAAGGCCTCCACTAATTATGAACTTCTTCAGCAGGTCCACTTGGCTAACAAGCATATAAAGTCACATCCTCCAACCCAGCCTGTAGTAGCAAGTAAGATTTTGTTTTTATTCTCCCTTTACCCATTTTGTTCTAGAACTTGACTTGTTTAAAATCAGCGCAGGAAAGAAAGATGTTCTGCTTTTTAGTTTGTTTGTTTGGCCTTTTTTTTTTGGTACTGGGAATCAAACTCAGGGCCTTCTGCATGCCAGGCAGGCGCTTGTGCCACTGAGCTATATCCCTAGCCCCAATGATTTATCATTATCTTTTTTTTCTTTTTTTTTTTTTTTGGTACAGGGAATTGAACTTGGGACCTTGTGCTTGCCAGGCAGGCGGGATTCCACTGAGCTATATTCCCAGCCCTAGATGCTCTGCTTATTTCCTCTCAGAAATCTTGTGAATACCTCCCCTGCACATATCCTATATATTGGCTTATTTTGCAAATCATAAACATAAGAAATAGTTTTACTGTTTTGTGCAAAATGGTACTAAAGGTTGAACTTTTAAATGATCATAAACTTCCTAACCTATATCAAATACTATAATTTGATTAGCTGTATAACAAATACAAAGAAAAAAGCTAGTTTGTTATAAGTTGAAATTCAGCTTGTAACTTAAGGGCAGGATTTATGGTAAATGTTAGATCTTTAGTTTCATCGGAGGTTCTATTTCTGACTGATTTAGGAAAGGAAGAGAGTTCTGGAAGAGAGATTTTTCTCTGTGGAGAAAGTCAATTTGGTATTCACAGCTCTGCCAAACGTTAGAGATTAGCTTTTTTTCCATTTTTCTTACAATTCT